TTCACAGTAATCTTACTGTGTTAACAGGTCGACAACGTGAAAATAAAATAATTTTAAAAAATAAAAATAAAAAATCAACGTCGGAGAGCCAATGTCAACGGCTGTTGCAAGAAAAAAATATTAGAAAATAATAATTATAATAAAAATATCAACGTCGGCCAATGGATGTAAAAAGAAGTACTCAGAAAAAAAAAATCAAAAAATTGTGAAGATAGAGGTCAATGTGATATATTTGTTAAACTCTAGGGTCGCAATATTTGTTAAGTTGGGATATTTGGGTGAAATATAGATGTAAATTATATTTTAAGAGTATTTTGGACAAAAGATAAGGAGATGGATTTTTTTTTTATAGAACTGAGTTTTATCTGGACTGGACATGAATGTAAATAAGTCCTTCTCACTGGAGTTATATGCAATTCGCCGTTAAAAAAAACTTCTAAACTTTCTTTTTTGAAGCTAAATACTTTATTTATTTCTTGATTATAGTATTTAAATTCTTCAAACAAGAAGTTACTTGCAAAATTCAACTAGTTTTCAAAGGGAGGGGCTAAAACAAATACCATTTCTTTCTCACTTCAGTACCATCAACATAAAAAAAAAATTAATAATAGATGATAAATAGGTAATGACATTATTACTCTTAATGAAAATTAATATAGCACACAAAAATTGTGTAGTACTGATATTATTAAGGGTATTAATGTCGTTACCTATTTATTTTCTATTTTTTATGTTGGTGGTATTGAAGTGAGAAATAAACGATATTCGTTTTAGCCGTCCCCGTTTTCAAATAAGAAGTTATTTTCAATTTTTTTTGTTGAGTGGTACTCTCGATCTTATCCTTGTATTGGAGCATTTTTGAATTCGATCTGCCGAGACTCATCACGTGTGCATGTGTTGTAAGATTGATTTATAATTATCTATTTTACCAATTTATAATCATTTATAGCAAGAAGTTTAAAACCATTTACCAAATTATTGAGTTGAGTAAATTTTGGCATATGTCATGTCCCATCGGAGTTTATGTTTTTGTAGAACGTAACCTACACCCGGTGAAATATATCATCTTATTTTATAGGAAAATTGACAAAACCCCCTAATTACACAAGTATCATTACAATTAGCCCAATTTTATTTTACATTTTTAAGATAAATTCAAAATAATTTTAATTAATTAAAACCACTTAATTATCACCATTATACCCCTAATTAAAAAATAATGTATATTTAATTTTAATATTAAAAGATATATAATATATTTTCTAATTAAGGGATGCTAATAATTAGGGAATTAATTACCCGTTTTAATGGCATCCCCTCTTTCTCTCTCTATTTGTTGAAATTTTGTGCAGATGGGGTTTTATCATTTTAAGAAGACAATATATATATATATATATATATATATATATATATATATATATATATATATATATATATATATTAATCTACCGTTTTTATTTGCTCAGATGTATGAACATGTTTGTTTTGCTTGAACGTTATGTTGTTTATCCGAGCAAGAAAGCAAATTTGTAATTATACATAGTGGTTTTCATGTTTACATAGCTGTTATACAGAGTGGTTTTCATGTTTACATAGTTGTTATATATAGTGGTTTTCATGTTACATAACTGTTATACACAGAGTGGTTTTCGATGAACATGTAGTGAATTACACTAATTTAAGAGTGGTTTACACTAATTTAATAGTGGATTATACCAATTTAATAGTGGATTACGTTAATATTAATGTAGATTATGCTTATTTTATAGTAAATTTTCACTTTAATTTCATAGTGTTTTTCGATAAATTTAGTGGTTTTCGATGAGTATGTAGTAGATTTTAAATTTTTTTAAATATAAACCATTTAAAACACTTAAGAAAGAAAAAACAATTTTTGTTTTAAATTGTAAAAAAAAACTATTAAAAAATAAAAAAAAATGGGAAAGCATAAACTAAAATTAACGTGAGATGTGTGATAGGTCATAGGAGAGATAATAGGGGATAGTGTGAGAGGGGGAGATAATAGGGGGATTTGCATATCTACCAAAAATGTATTGATTTTTCCACAATAATATAATATATTAATTTTCAGTAATAGAAAAATAAGGCATTTTGGATAATTAGAGTTAATTGGATTTATAACAAATATCAATTAAAAAAATGGATTTATCAAGAAGTCCAAATTGAATGAGGGGTATTTGACAAATAGCCCCTATTTTATATTATTACACTAAATAACACACGCTCATATATATTAATGGATAGTTATTATGTAGATATACGTTTTAAAATCACGTGATGTATTTCACTACGTGTAGGGTCTCATAAGCCGAGATTGACAACCCTTATCCGATCAAGAATGCCAAAGTAACTGTACTTACTACCAAAATAATTAGATTGAGAAAAATGACCGTTGAAAATCTTGAAATATTCAAAATTCCAATAATTAATTTGATGAAAGTCTGCAAATAATTTTGATCTTATACGATTTATACTACAAATTGGAGTGATATTATGTGAAATTTTTGGATATAGTGGAATTTATTAAAAAAAAAATCGATTCAAATTTAGAATTATCAATCTTTATACATAAATCTGATTTTTTCGATCCGAAAAAATCAGGAAAAAAAGGAAATATTATTTGGAATTGGATTGAATAAAGTGGGTGTTTAGCTAAGCTTATTTTAATGATAATATGTTTTAAGAGTTAATAAGATGTTACATCTTATTTTTTGGATTAATTTTTAGATTGTTTGTATAATGAGCTTATTTTCTATTTTTACTTATTATAAAATCTTAAATAAAAATGTGGGGTAGATGTATTTTTTTTTTAAATCTTACTTGCTCTTCAATAGCTTATTATAAAAAAAGTAAGACTTTTTTTAAAAACTTACCAAATAATTTAGAAGGGCTTATAAACTCTAAAACATCTTTATAAGTTCCTTTTAACATCTTATAAGTTTAGTCGAATGCGAAATCTCAAGTTTCAGATTGAAATCGGCCGAATTCGAAAATTTAATTAAGGTAAATAAATTTTAATCATGAAACAACACAATTATGTATTCTAGTGGGACACACAATATGTAGAAAACTTTGGCCGAGAATGGATTGGAAAGCGCGTGATATGTTTCCCCTAAAGTAAAGAATTTTGGGCCCACCACTAACCAATCTAAAATCTAATTTTCGGTCTCTAAAGAAGCATCTTAAATCTTTTCCAATCAAAAAAGAAAAAAAAGAAAAAAAGAAAAAAAAGGAAAAGAATAAGGCATCTTAGATTTAATGGGTATCCAATGAATCAATTTAATATTCATTATTTAAATGGAAAATGTTATTGATGGGATCAGTTAGGCATCATGGGGTCGAGTTCTCCATATTCAAGATCAGTGGGCTAAAGTCCAATGAATGATAAGAGCTAAACCCAAAATCAGGATGGGCTACAACCCATTGGGACAAATCCTAGTGAATGGTGAGAATTGAGGCTGGCTGAAGTGTTCGTCGAAGAGAGAGCCTAGTGGTAAGGATGTCAGATAGCTCGTGTTGTTAAAAGTCCATTAGCATGTATCAGTTCATAAGAGAGGAAGAGGGGTAGGTGGCAAGCTCGGAAACATCTATTGTGTTGTTAAAGTTGAAGATAATTTCTTACGTTTCTCATTAGTTTGGGATTCATGTTTTACCGGTGTTATTCTATTTTTGATAGGTTTTCTTGTTTTTTCTGCAGTTGCATTTTTAGCCATTTCTCGGGTCCCTTATATTCTTTAAGTATCTATTGATTTTTTATCTATAGACAGGTTGGGGATCCAGCCCAACCTTTACCCTCATCGGTTATTTGTTCTTCCAAAGACAAGAAGAAGATACTTTCTATTAATAAACTAGAAAAACATGTAAATTATGATTAGTAATTGAACAATCAATGTAATCGGAAGAATAAGGATATTCTAAATTAAGAAATGTATGATTACAAATTCTGTGTATAATAAGCGAATGTGTAACACTCTACAATGACAAGAATTTAACATTAATAATACACTTTTATACTCTCTTTCGAATTCTCTCTCTTTTATACCCAACACCTGTCCAAAATTTGGCATTAAGTGAGTTTTCCGACAACTAAGTGAGTTGAGCTCCAAAGGAGGTGTAGATGATGAAGATCTTGCACCCTTAAGTATTGTTAATGTTATGGAAGAATTTTTTCAATCTATCAAAATAAGAGGTATTAATTTTAATTTTACCTTTTTAGGAAAAAAAAAAACATCAATCTTCTCCTAAAAAAGGGTGGAGCCCATCATATAACACAAACTATAATTCTAGAAACTATTTTCTTTGCACATCTCACGATAATTTTTATTAGAATTTTAGAACTAACTCGACTGTTTTCATTCACTAATTTCATTTCAAAACTGCTCCTCACAAATTTTAAATTCAGCACTCAGTAATTTATCATTTGTATTTAGCATTTTGCTTCAGCCTTTACTTTTGCTTTTACAAAAAAACAGGGTATTATTATTATTATTATTATTATTATTATTATTATTATTATTATTATTATTATTATTATGATTATTATGATTATTATTATTATTATTATTAT